ACACACACACACACACACACACACACACACACACGAAGGTGGGTTGCAGCATATATGCCGGAATGGTGCTTTCCCCAAACTGATGGGCAGACAACAGCTAACAGTTATAGTACTTTTTCCATCCAGCTCACTGCCCTTTCTCTCCCCCATTTATTAGGGAATTTGCATATTACTCGAAACCTACTTTAAAATCAGGGTTGGCTGACTGCTTGACACTTTAGGACAGAAAGGTATAAAAAAAATTATACAAATCTGGGATGGAAATAAGGATTGTGGTCAAGAATGGAAGTAAGATCCTGAGAATTTAGAATGGAAATCAAACTGAAATGTTGTTAAAGATAAACTATGCATTCCTTTTTGGACTCAGAAAGAGAAAATCATTGGAGGACATCACAATGTAATCCTCTCATCCTTCCCAACACTACTCAGAGTGCCCCACTCAAGGCACGGTGGACATAATGCAAATAAGAAAGCAAGAAAAGCACCTAAAATTAAAAAAAAAAAAAGCCATCAGGTGCATTTAAAATACCAGATCTAAGATTTCCCTTGGGATCTGGGGCAAATAAACTGTCTACATTCATGATAAACTTGGTGCTTCCTTCTATCTTTTCGAACCCCAACTAGAGCTGAGGAATGTATTTGTGGTTTTCTTTTCTTTTCTTTTTGTTTTTGGTTTTGAGGATATTTAGTGTTTAATTTTGTGCCTGATGATAGATATGGAATAAAGTAGTTTGAGGAAGGGGGTTTGGTTAAATAAAACAAAACAAAATGGTAAATACTAAAACATGGATGAACCTTGAAAACATTATTCTAAGTGAATAAATCCAAACACAAAAGGTCATAATGCCATTCATATAACATATCCATACAGCAAATGCTTAGAGACAGAAGTAAGTTAGTGGTTTCCTAAGGTGAAGACAGGTGAGGATTAGGGAGGAGTTAGCGTGACTGCTAAGGGGTATGGTGTTTCCTTGGGGTGATGAGCATGTTCTGAATTAGACAGTGGTGATGGCTGCACATCTCTGTGAATATAATAAAAGCTATGGAATTATACAGAAGACATAGCAAAAGGAGAGGTAGAGTCTAGGTAGGCAGATAATTATGATGTAGAAAGAGAAGTGTGCTCTGGAAACTTTAGATTCTCTCATTTACCAGCTGTGAGACTTTGGGCCAGCCTTTATCCTGGACTTTAATTTTTTCATGAACATGAAAAGCTATGAATTTGGAATAGATTAAATATAAGTCCCTTCCACATATAAAATGTTACAATGTATTTGCATTTGGTAATACTAATGTAGGTCTCCTTGGCTCCCATTGCCCCAAAATAAAGAGTATATTTAATTATGAAAATTAAAATTACACACAAAAAAAGGCCAAATACAAGTTAGAGTCAGTCAGCTCAGAATCAAAAACCTAGACTGGAAGTAAATAGTAAGAGAATTAGAAAAAGCCATAAAAGTAGATGAAATTGTCTAGAGAGAATATATATTTTTAAAAAATGAGAATAGAAAAGGACTAAGGATTTCTATCAAACAACATTAACGGTAACATCAGGCACATCTATTCATTCATTCAACAAATACTTTTTGACTACCTAATTGTAGCCAAGGAGCTCTGGTGGTGT